GTCGAAGAACTAAGTACGCTATCAATTTATAAATCTACGGCTGGAGACTGTACTGAGATGGCAAGAAATATAACAAGCGGTAATTTTGTCCCTGATTTATTTCATGAGCAGAACCTTTTTTAAAAATATTTTATTAGACCATACAGGCATATTCATTACAATAAAAAAATAAATACATACATTATTATTCTATATTTTCTGGACGGGAGCGTGTCATAGACAAGTACATAAAAAGGAACTGTCTACATGCCGTATTACACGAACCATTTCGAGATACTTTTAGTCCAGCCTTTCATGATCCGAAAAGTAGATTATGAATTAAGACTGGAAAAAAGCTCGAAAAGTAGAATAAGAATAAAGAGTAAATTATACGCTTCATAACCTACGTATAAAATTTGGCACATTTATTAAAACCTTTTAGCTTGAGAATTAAAAATTTGCTATTAGCTTGAGAATTCAAGATTTACCTCACATTAAGAATATATGTACGTACAATATGTATAATTGTATGTTTCTTTATTCCACCATAACTTATTAAAATGACGGATATTTGAGGTTTTAAAAAATATTGAAATATCAAATTAAAACTATTTTTCCTTAACAACTGATTGATTAAGATCAGTTTGCCTTTAAATTTTTTAAATCAAAACAAGCTAAGAATTTGTGACTAAAGATAATAAAAAATATAAAATGATCATAAAAATAGTTTGAAAAAACAAATTGATAGGACATACCCTCATCATAAAGACCAGAGGTATTTTATAATGGTAATGCGGAATCTACAACTATCAATACCGATATTCTCAATTAAGGATACGATCGAAGCCACAGGATATTTCCTGTGGGTTCGATTAGAGAGAGATTGGCTTCGATTCTCCATTAGAGGAGAAATTGACAATGTTTAGTTCGGCCTACAAAAGAAAACAAATTCAACATTCTTTGTTAATATTGCACCTGAACCATAATAAGGCAGAGGCAGAATTAAAATATATTTACTATCAATATGTACCATAGAGGACAAAAGAAAGCCAACATCTATAGTCCAGTGCCAAAGATGTCAACAATGTGGCCAATCAAAGAACTATACTTTGCGCCCCCACATTACATAAAATGCGGCTAGTCACACAAAACAATAGAAACGAGACCGTACCACACTTGCTCAATGTGATTTGTGTAATAGACCTCACCGGACAAATTATAAAGGCTGCGAAGTATACAGGGAGATTCTAATGAAACGATCAAAATAAACTAAACAACTGTGACAACTACCCATACAACCACTTTTAGCTCCAAAAGCAAGAGAGAAATTAATTCCACTCATTCCCAGTGAGACAAACCAAGAAACATCTAAGCAAAAAAGAATATGCTGAAGTTCCACAAAACAGAGCTGAACCAGACAGAAATACCAAAAAAAAACCCATTTATCTAGCCCAGAGAAACTATTCTTGAAACAAAATGAAAAGTTTGATATTATCCTTCAATAGATAAGTACCCTGATGATACCCTGATATACTGCTGATATCCGGAGCAAATTGTACCTCTGCCACGAACCTTAGGTTTAAGGACTATAATTTCTATATTTCACCCAGATGGGACTGGACATGCTGATTCGGCATTCACAGTTAAGAATCGCTTAAATACCATTTAATGCCTGAATATAAAACTCCCCATATCCAGGCCTCAACCATAGCAATAGAAAATAACAATGCTTATCTCAATATCACGTCAGTGTATATTCTCGCAAGGGTAAAATAACTCAGGAGATGTATACAGAATTCTTCAAGACACTTGGCAATCGATTCATAGCCGGAGGAGACTGGAACTCTAAACATATTCACTAAAGATCAAGACTTACTACGACCAAGGGTAGACAGCTTAAGTTAAGTGTAGATACCAAAAGCTAATCACATTGTCCACAAGAAATTAAAACTGCGAGCAGGTATATTACGAATCTTATCTAGGAAGCCTGTTGGAGAAGTACTTCTACACTAAATACCAATAAGCGGATCACCATTTAGAAATAAAGAAGGCGGTCCTGGAAAGACGTAGACTATCATCAGATAAAACCAATATTAATAGGCAGGCATTACAATTGAGAAAAATACTCCATGATTGACGCAACAATACACTACAGGAAACAAGAAAAGGCAGACTTATGTGCAGAACATCTATCAAATGTTTTCACTCCTAATACTAAGATGACATATGCTTTGAAAACGAAATAAAGTCGATACTAAACCAAACTCTACAAATGTCGCTCCCTCTTGTCGTCCCCCGAAAGTCTGAAAAAGTATAAGAGAACTCAAAAATAAAATAGCACTAAGGTATGATGTCATTATTTTCCGAAACTCTGGAAGATGTTAAAGATCCTCATGATATACAAGACAGGGAAACCTACGGATAAAGTCAAGTCATACAGATCAATAAGTCTGTTGCCTGTTTTGTGAAAAATCTGCGATAAATTGTTTCTCAGCCCAATCATGCCATTTGCAGTACAATAAATTAATTCCAGATTATCAATTTGGATGTAGGAAACAATACTCCACCATTGAGCAACTACACAGAGTAGTGGTAAAATAAGAAAAACCCTAAAAAAAAAGAAAACTCATCAGCATTCCTGAATATTCAACAGACTTTCGACAGAGTCTGGCACAAGGGACTTCTGAGTAAATTAAGAACAAGTCTTTGACATTTTTACTATGCTCTCCTATCTTATCTTGAAGAACGAATTTTCCATATAAAACAGGCTAAAGCAACCTCTAAATTCTTTGTTGCGACCAGTTCTTTGCACTATAAATAGTTCAGACCTGCCTCAAGTAGATGAAATCTTGACCGCTACTTATGCCGATGATATAGCAATATTGGCAAACAGTGATAATCCTAGTGGAGCTTCTGAAATCTTTTAAAAAGGACTCGAAGCCGTTACAAAATGGCTTGAAAACGGAAAGTCAAAGCCAGCGCAACAAAATCAGTCCATATTACCTTCAAACTCCGCCAATAAACCTGTCCCCCAGTTATCTTAAAGAATATCACATTGCCACAACAAGATAACGTAAAGTATTTGGAACTGCATTTAAATCATCGCCTGATCTGGAATCAACACATCACAAAAAAAGCGGACTTCAATATAAAACATAAAACCTATATTTGATATTAGATTGAAACAGCAAACTGTCTATTGACAACAAACTATTAATATACAACTTAAAAACAATACTACAGCGAATGTGCAATATAAGGAAAATAGCAAATGTACCATTGTTTGTTACCAATTCTGAGATCCACAAACATTTAGATGCAAACACTGTGGATAAAAAAATACAGATTTTCACAGACGGATCCCATAAACGGCTCGAGATACACTCAAAAGCACTGACGCAAACTTTTATTATACGTGGCTATGTGAAGCGTCTTAAGAGAGAGACATATTCAAATTAAAGAAAGAGTAAATTTCTTCGATGAAGGACACGCTCTACACGAGAAATAGCTTACAATCAGCATCAAACTATAAGTTTTATCTGCTTTTAGTTTGATGCTGATTAAGAAAAGATAATATAGCCTGTACGAAAAAATAAAAACTTCACATAAAAAAGTTAAATCTTAAATTACATCTCAAATGAACACAGAACTAGGCATCCTCATAAATCTAGATTCTTTTGTGGCGAAGACAAGAACGTAGTCTTCAATATAAATTTGGCTTTCATTTCACATTTGTTTTGGCGGGATTTAATTAATTTCCTATGTCATAATACTCGATTTAGCACAGTATGTATAATAAAGGAAGCTGCTTCAAACAAGCTTAATTAAATGTCTAAAGCATCTTCACAAACGGCACCCGTTCATGAAGACGACGCTTCGCTAAATCATATTTTAAGGAACGTAACGACGCACAGAACATAACTGTAGAGATTATGTAAGCATGACATATACAATATTATACAGGTAGTATGTATACATACAAAGTTGTAATATTAACCACCCTCCTTGCAGAACAACTCATATCACGTTGTTTCCTACAATATCCTGACGTTCCTTACACGGAATTATAACTAAAAATAATAATCTACTACACGAAAATTACGTAAATATAAGTTTAAAAAAACTTGAGAAATTATAGGTCATATAATTTAAATTATATCTGATATATCACATACATTGCTTTATTTCTAAAATATTCTTACAAGCTTCAAGATTCTAACATCTTGAAACCAACGGGCCGAAGATCGTACTAATATACATTTTACCTAGTTTCAGTAAGTGTTCTGTTATACAAAGTTAAAGTCAAATAATCTTTATTCAAATAGACTTCTTAAAAGTACTTTTGAAGCTTCCAATATTTTTTCACTAACACTCATAATAACGTCTTTTGGCTGATAAAAATAACGAGCACCAAACTCACCAGCTCTAATGAGAGTAACGACATTTACAAAACAATGTCATTACCAGATACATAATAATGGCAACAGGATAATTTTTAGATATAATATCATCCCGTTGTCGAGTGACCTCTTGTGAAACCAAATTGTGGTCGATTCATAAGGTTATTCTTGTTTAAGTATGTTTGCATTTGTACAAGCATGATTTTTTCAAAATTCTTACTTAACGTAGGTAGCACGGATATAGGTCTAAAGTTAGTGTATAATCAGTACATTCATTATTTAGCTATGACTGGAGCTACTATCTCAATTACCGGTGTGGAAACGTCAATGGGTAAAAATATCATTTAAATGGATTAAATTTTAAAATACCAATACTGCGTTAACAGCTTCGTTCGCGTCGTTTACTTGAGGACTTCGTGATATCTTTATCCATAGGGAACTATTTAGTGAGATAAAAATAGTCTTTATGGTAATCAAGACAGAATCATTCCAAATTTATTAAACCAGTACACTATTTTTTTTGCGTGAAGATGTAACAAAATTTCAACTCCATAAACTTTGGCCTTTGTAATATTCTTAAAATAAAAATCCTTTGCAAATGATAATTCTAATTCTTTGCAGTTTCTCTGTGTGCAAGACGATGAAACTGAAGTCTGCATGTTCGCGGCTTTGGTGCGCACATCGAGCCATGCCTCATGTGTGTCGCTCAAAACGCGCACCGCCAATGGAAGGAACTCCTTGTGGGCCCAATAAGGTAAGTTAATAGTCGGGGGCAGGGTATAGAGTAGTTCCTGCTGGATTCCGCGTCCTTCCTCCAACAGCGAGAGTGCATCGGTTAGGTTATGTGGGTATGCCGTCCATGTTTTGACTAGCCTTCGGGCGGGTCCGTCCGGTTTGAGAGTCCCACACACCCCCTGTGGGTTGTCAAGTGGTAGACCTGTGGGTTGTCAAGTACATACAGCATTCTCCCTACAACAAAACAAACGGTAAGTTAATATTGTGTAATGTAGTGGTTAAAGGATTGACGACCTTCGTAGAAGAATAGTTCACGTACAATTTCAAGGTTTCGCCATCCCTGAGGTCCCGGGTATGATTCCCGGTCGAGTCATTGTAGAAAAAGGATTTATCGATTATCTCGGGTGTTGTGATATCTTCGTTGTCGCAGATACTTTATTACAGGGCTTTATCTACTCATCTTGGACTCTGAACAATGTCTGCGATGTTGACTAATATTTATTTATTAAAATAAAGGGTCATAAAAGCTGATCGAAATTTATTATCTCACGCTTTCCGCCAGCGGCTTTGCCTGCATTATCCTGTATTATACATAAAAAGATTCCTTTTGAATCACCTCGTTTTAAAAAAAAACACGCATTGTAATGTGTTACGTAGTTTTAAAGAACTGAGCATACACAGACGAAAAGCTACTTTATTTAAAATTATGTATTGAAACTCGTCCGTGACTATCTAATTTCGACAACCTACGAGTGTAAAATCAGGTGTCTGAATTCATTTCAAAAATATATAGGAAAAGAAAGATTATCTGAGTCACGTATAATCAATCAGTTTTGTTTTGTATTTTTACACAAAAAATTGAATCAATAGAATTTCTTCACTAAATTTCGCACAAATGAGTGAATTCGAATTTGAGTTTGGATTATTACAGAACCGCAGGGCAGGCATTGTATTCCTCGTGTTTCTTGATATTCTAGTAAAGTTTATTATCAAGGTAAGTCATTCAACATAATATAGTGGTCAATTAACATATTTTGTTCTGTGATTCTATTCTTTGTTAAGGCATGTGCTCAAGTATAGTTGGGACATGAAAAGTGATAATTAATTAGGTACGGGTTAGTGATACCTTATACGTAGAATGACAGATCGTTAGCTACCTACGTATTAATGTCACGGGAACCATATATTTAATTCATTTTCCGGTTTGAATTTCAATAATTGTATGACATCAAATGAAGATATTGAAGTAAAATGCGATCATTTTATGAGTTGCGATTGAATTGATATGCGATCACTTTATAGAAATGATTCTTGAAGATAAAGAGTGCCATTGTCTTGAAAAATGAAATTACATTTACAGACAAAACGAATAAAACGATTATTGCATTTATATTCCACATCTGCTTACCCCTATATGATAAAAGGATGGTGTGAACATTATGTTACTATAAAATATAGAAAAGATAGAAATATAGAATTTTATAAAAAAGGATCCGCCCTACTGTTCAAAAGCTCTGCGACCATTCTACTGAATAAGAAATTTTACCTCTTGTAAAAGTTATTGGGAGAATAGCATATTATAATAATGTTACAGTGAGATTTTCTTTATCTTTAAGTCTAACTACATCTTCTAATGTTTGAATTAACAAATACGTATTTCTGTAAATGAAAATATTATTGCATGAGATGGTGTAAGACTAATTGAAATATGTAAATTAAACATATTCGAATTTTTAAAAGTGACTTAACGAATTCGATTTTTTATTTGCAGTTTAAAATTTTTTGTTGTGTGATGTTCTATTAACTACTTAACTATAAGAAGACATTTATATATACGTAAATTTGGAGTTACTTCAATATGTCTTCATAATCTTGTCTTGTCACCTCATAGGCAGTCTTCCTCTATAGCGTTTGCCTTAATCCCGGCCCAATGCACCACCATTTTTTCACCATCTATCGTCATGCAATCACGGTACATATCCCGTTAATTTCATTTCAATAAAAGCTTCTAAGCAAGTCAAAAGACAGCTTCTAATTTAAAAAAAATTACATAAGACATTTATGGGTACTGATAATCAATACATATATAAAAGGAGATGTCCTGACTTACTGACTGACAGACAACGCACAGCCTAAATCGCTGGTCGTAGAAACTTGAAATTTGGAGGGAACATTCCCCTTAATACGTAGAGGCATACTAAGAACGTATTTTTTGAAATTCCATTTCGAAGGGGGTCAAAAAGGGTGAAAAATTTGTATGAAACTTCTTTGTTTATTGACCTTTGTCAATGAAAATTGGTATTTGGGTAGTTTATGACCCCAGGAAGGTAATAGGTTATATTTATCCCGGAAACTAGCACTTAAAGGAAAGAAAATGGGAGAAAAAGATTTAATGGGGAATCAAAATGTTACCATAGCAACCATTGTTTACAATCTGATTTGTCATTGTAATAAAATTACCTAATATTATTTCCAAATATTTTCTTGTATAGCAATGAAAATTGGTATTTGAGTGAAATTTTAATGGACAAAAAGTTCAAATTCAAGTAATTTATATTTTATATATATATTATGAACTACTAGATGGCGTCAAATGAATTCTAAATCGCAGATATTTTCGCCTAGAAAACTTGCCTAGAATATTTTTTCAGCCAGCTAATTTAAGTATATTCTAAATCGTGCTATTATTTTGATTAAAGAACTTTGTGCAGGCTTTAAATCAAAAACATAAAAATGTTGCTCCAAGTTTAGATTAAAGAAATTGAAACTATTTGTGTTTTTCGTTTCATCAGTATTTAATTTATTGAGGATTTATAGGTCTTAACCTAAGATTTCCTCACATCATGATGTGGCATCTGGCCAGGCCTTGAATGATTTGTGTTTAACGATATGGGCGGCTGATAGTATGACTTCTTCATGATGTAGCCATATCGTAAAATAATTACGTATGTCTCAGAAAGAGGAACTGATGTCGCATAGTTTTTGTGATACATGTATTTTAATTTAAGGTTATACAAAAATTAAAGAAAGTAGGGTGACTAAGCAACGGAAAACGATAACTTGATTAAGTTCAGTGAGATAAATGTAGGAGTACAGTGCGAAAGTGCAGCAGCAAAGGCTTTTTTATAGTTTTATGGATATGCACGTTGAGAATGACAATGTCACTAACCAAAAACGACGTATTTTTTACTTTTGGCAACACATTTCTTTGTAAAGTATAAACTTTAAAATGCAAATATCCCTGTGAGCGTAGTTTGCATAGAAACCACTAGGTGGCGCAGTGACGATACGTTGTTTAGAGAGGCGGATTACAATTTCTTGAACTTGAAACGGTCATTACTGATTTTTTGCATTGAGTCACTATCGTTCTCAGCGTACGAATGTTGCAGAATATGATGACAGGATTGTGACCTAGCTCCAGACTCTGATAAAAATATATTGGAGGAATCCGGGCTTTATGTGCCTTCCGAAGCATGAGATACTCATTTTTGGTCACCCATCCCGTAGCTGACCTTTACGAAAGTTGCTTTACTATAACGACCGCTGACCGCGGCGCTTATTCACTACAGGACTAAGTTACTCGGAAAATGAAATAATTTTTATTGAAATCTAAACGTGGATTTATTTTTTAAAAATCACGTTAATGTTTTATTGTATAAGTCCAGAGACAATTTTTTCATTCAAGAATTTTTAGAAAGAACATAGTGTAAAGTGCTGCCGATATAGATAATATTTTGCCGTACAGTTAACAGCACATCAGGCTATACAAACCTGTCAAATTTCTCCATTTCATTTTAAATCTTAAAGTATTGATACTAGAGTAGTGAGTATTGAAATAAAATGTAGTCAGAAATTTAAGCTTTGCTCTACTAGATGGCGTTCATGCTAAAGTGATCTGCGCTAACGTTTCGTAGATAATGTTTTCGATTAAGTTTTGTGTAAACTTCAGAACTGTTTTTTATCTGTATTTCAATTTGGGGTGGATTAATATCGTTAAAGTTTTCAAAGATAAAGTGCTGAAACATATTGGATTTTGTTATAGTATCTTCGAACCTAAACATTAAGGTAATTTCATCATCAACAGCGTTTTTGGAAAATATATGCTGCCCAAAGTAACTATACCACGCGGACGAAGTCGCGGGCAAAAGCTAGTATAAAATAAAACATTTGGGTTGGTTTAATCGTCTATTGTACCACTTAGTGATTTTACCACGTGTTATATCAGAGTAAAATCTCCCATGAAGAAAGAACAAAGGCAACCTGTTGATTGTCTCGAGCTGGGCTCGCGTATTCAATACCTCTTTTATATCTTTTGCCGTTTTTATTAGTTCAGTGGAAATGTAAAAACGTTGAGCTCACTTTTGCATTTCCACATTTTTATGGAGAATTTTTATTTCGACTCTTTTATCAGGAGACATTTATTTATGAAACGGACATTAAAATACATACTTAAATTTTCTTATTGTAATGTTCTCGCTCTCGATAAAGTACTTGTAATAAAATGAAACTGATGTGAATTTTAATTACAATTGAAAATATCTTTGATCAGAAGGTAAACCATTTTGAAATTAAAAAAAAAAACTGAGTGCGTAAAGAGGGAAGTATTAATGATGATCAAACGAATTTCGAAGTGATATGAAGTCACATCGTATGAAAATTTAAAGCTCCCACCCTCCCTAAATACAGTAGAAATTTTATCACTCATGTGATGTGTAAGCCAAAATAAAATACACCCAAATCACATTCTCTGAAATGGACATAGTATTAATATTTTTTATAACTTTGAATTCATTGTTTCTAGTTGCGAGGGCACAGGTATGTGACCAAAGAGATTTAAATAGGTTTATACCGCTGTATAGCCCGCTAGCTTCGAGAGAATTCCAATACAAATTTATTTGACCTGTGCCTTAGCAAGCCTACCTACTTAAATAGCTTTGAGTGGCAACAGGACTTATTAAAAATTTATAAGTTGTCAGTATTTGTTAAGGCCGCATCTAGAAAGGGGGACGGGCAAAAAATACACAACACTGTAACACATAACACACTGCAAAAAATGGTAATATCTAATCCAGCTTCACAAAGAGGGTGAATTGAATAGTAAACATTGGCCAAGACCCACCACTCGGAACCAGTGTGGTTTGTTAAAAGTTAACGAGTGTTAAATGCAATTGGGATCAACAGCTTGACGTGCTCTTTAAAGCAAACAGCAAAGGCAATAAATTTTTTTTTAGTTAACCATCCTGATCGACCCTTGTTATAGATGCTTAACTTTCGAATCGTAAACCAAACGCGCTAATCACCCCGCCATCGAGCTCCATTCATCCAATAAATAAATAAGAATATAAATTAAAACAAATTACATATAAATTTGAAATAATTGTTATTTAACCACTCCGTTCTTCTCACAGCTCGATGGCGACATCGAGTTATAGTAGTCACCGAGTCATAGTTAGAGCGCTCGGTCGTTAAACTGTTGGTCCTAGCTACATCAGCACTCGACTTTCACAAGTGCTTGTAACAGCCTAGACTGAATAAATAATTTTCATTTTGATTTTTTTTTGCACTCCTTAACACCCACTTATCTCATTCATTCATCTCATCATCTCATGGTCATGGCTCATTCTTTCTATTCGATATGATTGATTCCACCCAGGTTAGAGAGAAGGCCTGAGCCCTAGAAGTGGACACATCTATAGGCTGGTAATGATGAACTTTTGTCCAATTACTCAGATATTCTGAACACTATATGGTGTAATATCAAAATTTTTGAGCTCAGATTGTTTAGTATCCATTATAAATTATGTCATTTTTACATGTAATTAGTTATATCAGTTCCTTGTGTAATAAAAAAGGTAAATAACTGCTTACATTAAATATCTAAAATATAAGATAAAGTATATTATTATTGACATGAGAATCGACTAGAATTACTTTAACAATGATGTGTGTTGAGATTCCATTAGTTGTTCATATGCGTGGTTTGCATACATCAAGCGTCGTAGAGGCACGTGTGCAAGCATAAATTCTGCAAAAATCCTTCACCCAGGGTCATCGACGAAAAACATAAAATAAGATTATTACACAATATCACAAGTACTGAATCATGTTGGGGTACGACATTTTTTTTTATACCACAGTACATTAAATGTGAAAAAAGTATTCACTGTTTATTACTTTTCTGTTATTAATAGTTCATGTACTACATACGAAAGCCATGTAATATATTTTAAATAAGACATAGAATATAATTAGTAGTTCGGAATCTATCATATAGATACATAAGAATATTTGAGCATTTTATAACATTTGGCCAGTGCGGGTCTTGTTTTAGCAGCATTTTACATGACAATGTTTTTAATATTAGAATTTTTTTTTCTATAAGACAAAGATATCATTGATGGAAAAAGAGTGAGAAATACTTTGTAAATATTTGTTTCATATTTTATGCATAAGGTTTAATTGCTTTTTTAAGAATAAAGTTTATATTTATTTAAGATTTTAAATTATCTTAAGAAGTTACAAAAATCTCTTAAACAATTTATTATCGGATGTTGTAGATGATGATTGTCCATAATGGTTTTAGAATTGATTAATTTTTTTACCGTCTAAATTTTCTGTACTTTTTATACTTTTTATGTGTGAAAGTTCAATTAAAATTGTAACTGTACCAACTTATTCGTATCATGAAATGCTAGTCGTTTCCGTCGTTAAAACTCATCGTTTGCCAACTGTAGTATTTCAAAGTTGCTGACAACCCTGTCGCTTTCAAGAGTTTCCGACGAACATATGAAACTTGAAGATAAAATACTTTAGTTTAAAGCGTGCATACGCGAAACAATTTATGAAAATTTAATAGACAGATTTACATTTCAAAGGTCTTCAATATTTTAAGGTTTACCCTTGGCTACAAATAAAATCTATTTAAATAAATATGAATCCCTATTTCCATTGGTCGCGCCATCGCACATGACTGGACAGATTTCGATATTTCTTGTTGTGTTTGTTATAGTCAGGAAAACGATTTTATGAAAGAAAAAAATTATGAATATTTTAAATTTATAGAATATGTAACCACCTTAAATTATTTCTAATCTAACATTAGTGCTTTTGAAAAAATTAAGTTTTATAATGTAACCTTATGACGCTAGGCATGGAATTGACAGAATGCTTGATGCAAATATCGTCAACAGGATGTAAAAAACAGTTAGAGTTCAATATTTATAATTAAGACAGAACAATGTCTGTTGGGTCAGCTAGTATGTGTTTTTGTTTTGTATTTTTCAAGTTTTAATTTTTTTCATTCGTTATTTTAAATAATAGAAAATAACAAATGAGAGCAGCAGACAAATATCAATTAAACAAAAAGTATTCAGTTAAATTTTTATTTTTATTTGTAAATTAATGAAAGGACAAAATCTATTTTGTCTGAATGTCAAAAGGAAAGGCAAATCTTTTACGGTAGCTTCGTTGTACATCTGTCTGTCTGTCTCGAATTTTTGCTCGAGAATATGTGAATCAAATGACAGTAACCAATTTAGTCAATTACTAGTAACGTTTGCGGTTTCATAAAGCTGTAAAAATCGGAATTGTAGTTATAACATTTCATTAACAATCATAATCAATCATAGGATTTAGAGGACAAATCTTGAGAAGAGATATACGCGAATAGCATAGGTACTATGAAATCTATCCCTCGTTCGCGAAAAATCGATATACCTAAGTACGTATAAATGTGGAGCTTTTTAACGAAATCTTTGAAAGGAACTTCTTATTGCGTGTACTCGAGAGGCAAACTCGCTTTATAAATGTATTAGATTAGAAGTGGATGTTTTTGTATCGTATAAAAAATATTTAAATACACCTATTGTCTAATGTCCGTGAAATCTATAGGAGGAAAGATTTGGTTGTGTGTACTACACTCCGAAACTACTAACGATTTTAAAAATTCTTTTACCTAAGGGTGCATAGTCTATCTTTCGTGCGCGGGTGATGTAAGCTTGTAATAAACGCCGGTAAGGTCGCGGAAAACAGCTAGTCTTAAATGTTTATTAAAAAAATACTACTACATCTATGCATTTCTATGAATTCAAAATATGTTCGTGTTTTGAAATATTCCCTTAAATTTATTTTTCATATACACAGCGTAACAGGTTACTATCAAAGGTCGATTTGTTACGATGAATTGTGGATTTTACTAAAACCAATTGAAAAATAATATATATATATATATTTTTCGTTTTCCGTTGTCGACTTAGAACCTTCTTCTTTTGTATATGAAGTCAGGTAAAATTGGCCTCTTTGGTACAGATTTGCACTGTCACAGCATAAATGTTCAATCACATAAAATCTGCTTCATTGTAAGCTTCATATTATAGGCTCAAAAAGGTAATAAAAGGTTTTATTTCATGAAACCTCTATGATACATTATTCGACTTAGTCGGTCGGTTATCATTTAATAACCCACTGAAAACCTCCGACAGACTTTAATAGAAACTTTTTGATAATGGCATAGTTTTTAAGGTAACTATCATTTCTTACTTCTTTTAAAGATTGAAGTTGAATAATTAAAATATATATATATATATATATATATATATATATATATATATATTTATGCCCGTTTTATATATTTATTTTTATTTAAATTTCTTTAAATATTTAATTATTGGACAACATCACATACCAGGATGAGTAGCTAAAGCCCCCATATTATAGAGTATCTGTGAGTTCTGAGAAAATGAAGGTACCACAACACCTTAACCCGAGAAAATATAGAAAAATGAATCGTTTACGGAGATCGTCATTTATTACAGCTGTATTGTAATAGAGATAATCTCTCACAGTCCAGACACCTGGCTGTTAGCTTATCCTTTAACCAATTTTGACAGTTGGCTGAGTATGATTTACAGGTTTTATAGCGAAATAAAAATTGCGCCTGTTAAACGTGCGATGTCTCTCTGCTTTAGTATTTTTGTCACGTCGTATATTTTAATAAAAAAATAATGTTGCAGTGGTGCGTGGACCGTGTATGTGAGCCTATGCCAGGCCACTTGGATTCAAAGGTTGAAGAACCAGCGGTCCCTGAATGGGACCAATGGGGTCCGTGGAGTGACTGCAGCGCTGACTGTGGCTATGGACTACGCAGACGGCTTAGAAGATGTAGATATAAAGGGTTCGTTTGATTAATTTGATTCTACCGTAATATGTTATTATTCTTTTTTTATATTTACAACCAGTTGCATAAACTGTTGAAAATAAATTTAAGAATTTTTATTAATGTCTAAGCACTAACAAATCATCGAAGCTTTGAGTTAAAATTTATTAGATTTACAGTAACTTACTCTTAAATCAAATTTTCTATATATAATGAACTTCAGAGTGCTCTGTATCGACTAAAATAAAAAACGTAAATTAGAGCAACACAGACAACGTTAAATAGAATTACCGATTTTAAGAATACAAGCAGTGGCTGTTGACGTGTTTTGTTCGTCTAATTAATTAAAACGAAGATCTTTAAATAAAATTTAAAAAAACTATTTCTATTGCTATCATTTTATTCAGAATTCGTCAAATATAAATAAATTACGATATGTACTCTACATCGAAGAATATATATATTTATATATATCTTTATTTTATTATTTAAAAGGTCTATCTCGGAGGGTGCGTGTGAAGGTGCCGGCTCTCAAGTAGCGACATGCTGGTCTGGTACAGTGTGTGCAGACACGAGAGATGTACGTGCCGACATGTGTGCGCGTCAGGATCGCCTATTCATACCTTACATACATCCTAATGGTATGTTAATGTTGAAATTCGGATTACGTAATCGTGCGATTCTAAAAAATATAAATGAATATTAGACAACATCATATACATTGCTCAGATTCCAAAATGAGTATAGAGTATCGGAAATAACGAAGCCACAGATCCAAGATAATATAGAAAAGTTAATTTTCTACATTGACTCGATCGGGAAGTGAACTCAGGAAGTCAGAGATGGCGGACCCTTAAAACCGGCGTGCAAACAACTTGGCTACGGCAGTGCTCTTTATGTATTACTCGTAATATTTAGAATTAAGCCTCTATTCAGAATACTATTTTGTTACCTGTGGAATATTTACAATTAAGTCTCTATACAGCCTACTAGGAATTGAATACCCAAATACAGCCAAGTATCAACGTTATTTGAAGGTTTCCTTATTTTGAAATATTAATTTATAAAAATTCTTAGTGCCTAGAAAAAACTCAACGAAGCCCTATCCATAAATTTAAATTCCCATGTATATAATTTTATATTATATTATCCTTTTTTCACAGAAACTAAACACTGTGAGATTTGGTGCGTACCACTTGCGGGTGGAGAAGCCTCTACATTTGGTGCTTTACCTGATGGTTCATCTTGCAGTTATGATCGACCCTATGATATTTGCTTCCAGGTAAGACTCAAGTTCTTTTAGTACTGTTTGAAACCCTATATCTCTGACAATAAGGAGACAGGATGGCGAATGGCACAATAAAAATGGTTTTTAATTAATTTCTCAAACTATTACGATTATTGTGAATGTGCTGCATAATTTCCTCGATCACAATCCGATTCACATTATTTATCAATTTAAAAAGGGTAGGTACAATTACAAAATCAAAAACATGGTGAATTTAGAGGTAACTTTCTTTTTAATTGTAGTATTTTATAAAAGTTTTATTGCATTTATCCAGTTTCGAAAAGACTGATGTCAATCAGTAGCTTTACTTATAAAGCTACTGATGAAGTTGATTTTTGTCAATACTATTTTTATTTTGTTAAAAAAAATCACTTAAAGTAAGCTAGTGAGATATTGATTTCTATGACTTTGAAAGTTGTCCACTAAATTTAAAGCTTTGATATACAGCCTATCTTCCATACAAAAATAATTGGAGAGTCTGTTAATAATTTTAAAATAACCTCTTTTTACTAAATACTTATGTATGTAAACACAATAAATCATTTTTGTCTCTCTGTCTGCTAGTTCCGACTAACCTCTGAAATGACAGGATCGATTTTATCCGGACTTTCACTTATGTAATAAGGAGAACTTAAGCTTCTTTGCACGTGGACGAAGTCGCGCGCGCCCATAGCTAGTAGTAAATATAGGCGTATCTTTTCTCGAATATCATTGCAGCCCCAATTTCATGTTTACTGTCGTATCCCTACATTATTGCTAAACTCTCGTTTATTTCGTTTGTAGAATGAGCAAACATAGCGGTCCGAGTAACGAAATAAAATATTTACGTAGGTTTTTTTCGTGCTCTTAAATCATATCCCCGTTGGCGGTCGAGACCGCTCGGCAACATCTCTTCATATATTTTTTAATTTGGATTCGTTACGGTATATCAATACACCCAAAGCTGTATATACTATAGAGATATTAATACATAACAGAGATGTTACTGGCATTCAACTCTATGAATAAACTAAGAGGCTGTATACACTAAAACTTACTAACTTGTAATTAGTTTCGTAAAAAAATATAAAATCCAAATAAGCTGTAATTAAAAATAGGAAAGCTTCATATATTTGTAACGGTTTTGTCGTAGTCAAAACATAAAATTATAAAAAATGTATAGAAAAAAATTACAAAGCTATACCTGAAATTCATTTTCTTTCTGTAATATATAGTTTTGTTGAAAAAAAAAAATTGTAAATTTACCTTATGGAGTAATTTTACAATAATCATAACGGTGTGCGTCAAAGTAATTTAAAATAGTTTTGAAACGCAATTCGCACTCCTCTGTCCTTCCTATTTCATTGTCGGGCGTGTTGATTTTATCTCATTTTCTCTTAATTTCGCGAATAGTTGGAAAAATTGACGAATAACAGTGTTGAAAAATCCAAAGTGCTGGGTTAGAAGGGTTATTCCTCTTGCTGGGATTAATTTTCTTAGTCTTATCTTGGGAATGTAGAGATAATTAAGGTTAATTTTATGTATAGCTACAGCAGTTATATTAGGTAAAAAATATAAAATATTTCACTTATTCAGGGAACATGCGTAAGGGGGCAGTGTAATAGTACAGACTCGGAATGCAACTGGTGTCCTGATGGATACTGCAACAACAATACGCATGTGTATACCAGAATGCTCGGAAAAGGTAAAAAATGGGTTTTATATTTATTTCATTGCCCGCGTGAACTATATATAGCCTGTCACCTACGTATAATGCTTTGCTGCGACTTTTGCTTTGTTTGTTGTTGACAATACTACTCAAATGGAAATAGGTGTCGAGTAATACCTATTTCCATTTGAGTAGTATTGCAATCGGTGATTATATTTAACTTACTACCTAAAATTTCATGATTTTTACCCCCCCCCCCCCTCCTGTCACCTGTTTCTCCATACAAATTCTACTAAATATTGTTCTGATGTCACAGTTCGTCGACCAAACGTGTGACGTAATTTATGGATGGCCTTTGTATAGAGTAATAAATTGCTTGTGATTTACAAATTCAAGCTTCATAATTTCTTTTAATGTGTATCTCACATAGCGTATTAGCAAACACATACAATAAGACACACTTTTCGTGATCGATCAATGGTAAATAAGTCGACGATGACGTCAGAAGTCCCAATATCTGGCGAGCTTTACCTACTTGCATCAAGAGTTATCATTCTTACAAGACATCTGTTGTGAAGTTTCATAGATAGACAGAATAAAAAAAATATCAATAAATACATTCGGCATAATTCAACTTATATTTTAAAAGGATATTTTCCTAATTAATTAAAAAAAACACTTGCATCTACAGTTGATAATAATTGTTTAAGACTTTAAAATTCATAGGAATATCACGAAAATTCAAATAAACATAGTAAAATATGAAATACTGCACTGCATGCTGCAAGTCTTTTCTATTGTAATTTTTTTTTTGAAAGTACAAATCTATTGTTTTTGTTTACCGTCTTTTGACTAGATGGCGCTGAACGCTTCTGAATCTCGATATTAAGTGGGCGTTATGATATTATAAGTGAGTTTAGAGATTGAAATAGAGTGAACATACATACATACATACCGAAATACCGGTCGAATATAAGAACCTTATTTTTGATTAGTACCTCGACGCTTTGTATCGATGGACTAACATTTTAAACAAATTTGATACGGTCGAGAACTTTTATTTCATTCATAAAATAATGGAAGGATTGGTGGTATTGCGTTGCGATACGTCCCCAATAGAACAGAAAACAGACAGGTTACAAAAACTTCGTATAAATTGGCTTTTTAAGCTGATTCATTTTATTTTATTATAATTACTAGTGGACGCCCGCGACTTCGTCCGCGTGGAAGTCGGTATCCCGTGGGAGTGAGAAGTTTTCCCAGTAAAAAGTACCCTATGTGTTATTCTGATGTATAACCTATATTGCTGTAAAGTTTTATCCAAATCCGTCCAGTAGTTTTTTCGTGAAAGAGTAACAAACATCCATACATCCATACTTACAAACTTTCGCCTTTATAATATTAATAGGATTGATAATAAAAGATAATGAGTCAATGACCAATTGTCTTTTACTCTATTAGTTTTATTTTTTACAAATAATATCTTTATGAAAAGTAATATGTCATTTAATATAAAAAAAATATTATCAATATATAAAAAAATAATTAAATAATAATTTTTTGACAGAAATTTTAATGGTCATGTCTTTCATGCATTAAAGAATAAAATATATTTTTCAATCGTGTTTAGGTTGGACCCGTATGGCAGTTATTCCACACGACGCCCACCAAGTTTCAGTTCACATAACAACCCCAGTGGCCCTAAATCTCGCAACACGTGAGCGCAAGCGAGACAGACATATACTTGAGTTAAGCAAGCACAGTAAACGTTTTGAAATAGACAACTATCAAGATAGATATTTGAAATACGACCCGAATGTACCACAGAATTTGCAGATTGTTGAGTTCGATAACAATGTTATTGATATTAAGGAAGGAGTGCATTATGCTTGGGAAGGTTTCGCAGTGGCAGCTGGGACGCTTCTGAGGTGGAAACAAACTGACAGTGATATTTATATCACCGCCGAATCGAGGCTTCAGACGGATTTAATGATAATGGTAAGGTTATGTAAACTCGTAGATTTATTTTCATATTTTGTTATTATGTAATAGAATTCCCTCGAACATTCCTAATTTATTTTCCTCTCATTATCATAATTACTTTATACAGCTTAACATAACGTCAAAAGCATGGAGGAGTTCGTGATAATAGATTTGAGTCACCCATTCGACGACTACAAACCACTGCATCGTCAAAGTCCTATCTGTCTGGTATAGTAATCAACCTACAACGCGAAAGTAAAAAGATGAAGAAAATGACCAAGATTCTCTTCAGCAAATTGGAAATATTAAGCATAACTTGACGTAGATGGAAACATTAGCACACTTAATAAACAAAAAATTGTCTTTTGAAAATGAATGATTCCCTTCCTTCTTAAATCGGAATAAGCAACCATGTCTTATTGGATTACACTCTCTCTAAATTCAAAATACCAACTGATTAAAAAATTACCCCCACTATAACTTTCTGCTCTAGATAAAGTATAGATAGAATAAATAACATATAGTAGATAATATTTCAAAATGTTTTCATTATTGTTTCTTGCCTGAACATGAGTTATAAAGAGGTACGGCATTTTATTTCTTTTAATCGTGTAATTGAGTAGGTACTACTACAACCACAAAAGATTATGGTGCTCTCTGCCCGAACTTTAATCATTATGTTGTACATAGCAACACACGACACTTAAGGCTAAACTAGGGGTGCATGACTATAGTGAGTAGCGGAGCGGGAGATAATCGTCAAAAAGAGATACCTACATAGAATATTTGAAAACATTTCAAACGTTACTTGAGTTGCTTTTGGAAATTGTTTTATATAAAATATATTTGTTAATGCCTCAGTTTTCGTCGGAAGACTGTACCGCGACTAGGAACAAGAAAGGTGTTTATTCACTTGCTTATGTTATGTATAAAAAATATATAATTTAATGTCTTAAACATCTAATGTATAACATGATCTACAGGTAGATATAAGATAATTTCCACGTTTTAACTAAGTATGATATAATTTATTTATTTATTTATTTATTTATTAATTCAACAAAGTTTCAACAGCAGTTTAGTTATTTCTATACAAAAATAAGTATGCAACATTGACGCCAATTATAGAAACTTATTATGTTTACAAATCTTAATAATTATATAATCATAATGAGGGCAGTTGACAAAGAAAATATATGTATTAGACAAAAATATACATATTTATAAATTATATCGCACGACAAATATGGTGTATGTATGTATGTGTGTGTGCATGTGTGTGTATGGATGAGTTTATGTGTTTAAATAAAGTATGCGTAACTAGAACTTCAATTCATAATTACATAATTACGTAATTAACTCTAAAGACGGGGCCGAGTTGAACACACGGCGACCGCGCGTCGAGTGGGTAAGGCAGGCAAAGATACCTACGGTACAGAGGCACATTCTACTGTCTGGCTTACATGGCGCAAATAACAACAACTCAAACAGACAAAATAATTATTAATTAAATCAACTCGATTAGGTATAAACAATAATAATCATAATAATAATAATAACTATCATAACAACAATAAACAATAATAGTAATAGAATTAATTATCATCTCAATCGATGACGATCCACACTGATAGACTTGACCAAAGCAGCTCTAAATGCATTTCTGGACATAGAGAAAAGGTCAATTCCGGAAAAGCATTTATTGTAAGTTCTAGGTAATCTGACTGTCACGTCATTAGCCTCATAGTTTGTTCTTACAAGGGGTATATGACATAGTTCCGTGTGTCGCGACCGTTTCGTTGATGCATTCAAAGACACCATTCTGTTAATTAACCCGATGCAATCTAATTGTCCCGAATAGATATCGTAAAGAGTAAGCATATCTCTTATACGACACCTGTCCCTAAGACTAACGAGACTGTGTTTACTACAGGACTCCTCGTAACTACTCGAGATATAGTTGAGTCTGAAATTCAAGTATTTAACGAACTTCATTTGTAGTCTTTCAAGAGCGTGTTCGTGCGTGACATATTTTGGATTCCAGACAACACTACAATATTCAAGGATTATATAAATTATATTCCTTTCATATCTTTATTAAAAAGACGTAGGGTAGCTTATTCTAAGAGCTGAGCTGATATGTTATTGAAATAAAATTAGTACCGTAATGAAACCTCTTTTTTAAGTGTTCTGCCAATTGGTGACAAGTACTGTCCCGTCAATTTGATTATTTCTATAGTTTTTATCAGATTGCTCTCTCACATTAGGTATATTTAATTTTTTATAAATTCACTTCTTTGATAAGTGAATTCACATGAGCAATGACATATTGTCATGTCACGTCATGATGTAGTTTCTTAAATTGGGTTAAGTGATAGTCTGACAGCAAAGCTATGAGAACCAGTTTACCCAATAAAATTGGTTCTCCGTATTCATTCTACCTCCGCCACTAATATGGATAGATAGAAGGTTCCGATAATTATGATGTGACAATTAAATGAGGCCATAACCAAGTTCTTAGTGAAGTTTGTGTTTGATTGTGATAGGTAATTAGTTATTAGAAAACTAGCGAGAGTATCAATACTAGATTTTTTTATATTGCATTGCAGTTTGACCCGCTTACTCTTCCGCTTTACCTTGTCGTTGCAACTACGCATTAGGTTTAGTGTGGTGAAGCGAAACAGCCGGTGATGAGGGTAACCCTAAATTATTCACAGGGCTTTCAACTCACCGCTGAAGTTAATTGAGAACTGCGACTTTACATCTCATTTTCTTTTACACGTTCCATTCAAAAAGGGTTTTACAGTTTTTTTAACGAATATTAAATTATGTGTAATTTTGAATTCCAACATCTTTTAAGTTGTTATTCGCAAAAAGAGACGTCCTATTTGTATTATCTCTCAATGATATTACATTTCTCATTATAATGTCTCCATTATAATGCCAGTAGCAACATAAAAGTAGACATTACAATTTTTCTTAATATATATACATAAAATTTAAATGTTTTAAAAATGTGCGTTTAAGAATTCAATACCGTCATTTTCATTATCCTTTATAGAGTATGTTTGGTCTAAAGAATATTTAAAAAATTATTTTCTTTTTTTGTAAATGAACCGAAGAAACCGAATTGTGAATTATAATAATTAGTTCAATAAAAATCCGTAAAGATGATTTATTTTTTTTCTGTCCTGTGATCGAAATCTACTCGTCCAATCAGTTTCATTCGAAGTAACAATTTTTAAATACTTATAATTTTTTATAGGCTGTTCCTGAAGAACCTGTACCTAATGGTGAGCTGATGAGCGTGGTAATATCAGTGAACCATAGTACGCCTGCTAGCCGATCCAGACCAATGGAATACAGGTATAATTTTTTATTCAACATGTGAAAATCTATGTATACACTCTGATGTACAAGCAAACTATGCTTTTTTGTGAAACTAATGAAAAGAAAATGATCTTGTAAAACGTAGTGTTTTCTCTTTTGGTTTCGCGAAGGGGGTTAAACTAAAAAAAGTCAATAGTGAATCGGTTCCTCCCAGGCAAGCACGCTCCATCTTAGACCATTGCATTGCTTGCCATCAGATGATCTGTGGTCAAGTGCTTGCCTATCTAGAATAAAAAAAAAACTGCGGTAGAAAGAGAGAAGGAGATTAAATCAACAGACCAGTCGATATGACCAATGTATAGTATTGTGTGGAATAGAGCAATAAACTATTTTTACAAGGTTTTATATACGTATGACCGCCAAATATTGTACCTCTATTTTAGAGCTTATCATCAACCGATCAAGCTGAAATGTTGTAGATGACAACGTATGGTTAGCTAAGTTGAATATAATTTTTTATATATAATTTAAAATATATTATGAAATGGTGATTCACAGGTGCTATTACTATGATTAACAGAAGTGTGTAAATTCTCTTTGTAAGAAAATAAATGGCAGTATTTGTCGTAACAATAGATCCCGCCATAAAGTACATTTTAACAGATCATAGAGTAAATTGTATTTAACTAGAAACAAATACTTGATCAGTTTTGCATTCACAATGCTATATTGAATAATATTCTTAATGAAAAATGTTTAAATAATTGAGACTTGCACTCTGTCTGAGATGAGACTCGAACCCATGACCTTTTGCAATCCGGGCGACTGCTTTAATCACTGAGCTAACGAGAACCCAACAGAACTAACGATTTTTTCAAGCATTTGTTACTTTTTCTCTGCTACAGAGAGTACTTTCATCAATGATCAGTCGATAATCCCAGCCGAAAGAAATATTTTTACAAATATTAAAACCTTTCTATAAAGATAAAAAGTTGTTCTAATAATTATATTTGATCAATTTCGCATTCAAAATGCTATACTGAAAAATATTCTTAATGAAAAATGCTTAAAAAATCCACTTAATCTGTTGCACCCTGATTTGGAAATCGAACCCCATGACCTTTCGCAATCCGGGTGACTGCTCTAATCACTGAGCTACCCAGAACCTAACAGGACAGACGAATTTTGAAGTATTTGACAAACTACAACAGCTTGTTTAAGAATATAATCAATAAATTTTCTTGTATTTTCTTATATTCAATCAGAGGATTTTTGGATTTTACAAAGTACAAAGGGAATTTGTGTAACATTTCATCGAGTAAAGCCACGAACGTCGATAGGTACATTTCAATGATAAACTAAGAAATTGTTTTTTAAAATGACCGGTAGATTCCAAAAACATCCTAAATTGTTTCATATCTCTTTACAAATGACATTCATCATCATCATCATCATCAGCCTTTTTTACGTCCCCACTGCAGGGGCTCAGGCCTTCCTTAGGATGGTTAAGGAGGATGGGCCATGACCCCCCACGCTGAACCAATGCGGATTGGAGGGTATTAACGACTGCAAATGCAGCCGAGACCAACGGCTTAACGTGCCTTCTGAAGCACGGAGTAGCTCGAGAAAATATTTTTTTGGTCAGCCATCCCGTGACCGACCCTAACGAAAGTTGCTTAACAACCACGACCGTGGGCCGCGGCGCTTATTCACTACGCCACCGAGCTACAAATGACATTACATACACTCTATTTAAACCTCGAATGTCGAATTATTCCAACTGTATTTAGTTAGAGAAATTCGGTATTGGAAGTTTGAATCTCAAAGCTTTCACCTGTTTACTATCGTATATTAAACTATGTAATTATGAAGCATAATTACAGAGATTCCAACTGTTCAAAGGTTTGACAAAATTTTGCTCGGTGTCAAGTTTTCACTCCTCGATTAGAGAGTTTCATTATTTCAACGGAATATCGAATTCATATCGAGCTCATATGTATATAATTTTTTTTTGTATTGATATTGGTACAGCGCCACCTATCTTTGGAAACAAGAATTCCAATACAAAAATACACTTGTGTTCGGTACCAATTTGAATCAAACTTGATACTTCTTCGAGTTAAAGTTACTTGTAAATAGATGATGACTTCTAATAATATAATTATATTGAGCAATTTTGCATTCACAGTGCTATATTGACAAATATTTCTTATGGCTGTTTGGGTGGATTGCCTAAACATTGATGTAACGTTGATGAAAGTAAGAAATGTCTAATAACATGTAAATACACCGAGTAGAAAAACCTTGGACTATACGATATCATCGCCATCTTTCATTCATTTCATTTTCATTTTACATGTAAAAATTCATTTATTTACTTGACATTGGCAGAATTGTGCGAAATGCGCAGATAAGCCATTAATTAAAAAAGAAGAAGAAGAAGTAGAAAAACCTTAATATTATCTGTCTGAATTGAAACCTTTATGAAATCGTCCTACTGTTCTGTTCTTATACGATCTAACAAAAGATACCCTATATTTTTGCAATATATATTTCTTATCAAGACCTAAATTGCAATATACTTAAACGAATAGAATGAAAGAATATGCTCAATATATTATGCCGTGAAACAGTTCAGTTGTAGGGACCCAACCTTAAACAAACAACTAACAAACAACCAGAAAGAGAACGAATATATTTTACAAATACAACAAGAAATCTGTCGACATGTAAGAGCTTGCAAACATTCTCGATAAGATGCTTGTTACATTTCGAAGTTTGGAAGACAGTTATTTGCCTTCTAAGAGTTTTGTTGTGTTCCTTAAATGATTCTTTATGTAATGTTGAATAATATTCTTTAAAGTTACTTGCTGAAGTAAATTGAAAAATAAATGATCATGTAATAATAACAACTCGATCATTAATTATATCTGGACTATAAGTTAAAGACGAATTTTAGGTGATACATTTTTAGACATTTTTTTTTAAGATTCAGCACTTATAAAGGCAAAAACGGAATTCATTTAAAGTGCGGTCTGTAACAGTTGATTTTCTTGTTAAATAGAAATTCGGTACATACACATAAACACAGAATCCTCTTTTGGGAGGTAAATTTGAAACTTTAAAAAGTTTCGCAAACTACATCATAGAATAAATGATATTAATTCTTATATTTGATTAATTTTGCATTCATAGTGCTATACTGGAAAATATTCTTAATGAAAAAAGCTTTAAAAGTCCACCAGCCCCAGTTACCTACTTTAAGATGGCACTCGAACCCATAACCTTTCCAATCCGGGCGACTACTCTAACCACTGAGTTATAAATATTTTCCAGTATAGCGCTGTGAAATTGATAAAATTAATCAATAATATGAATGAAAAGCTTTTCCTATTTTATCATAACTAAGACAATTTTCTATAACGGCTAAACTTGTGTTAATTAAATTTTAATGATACACTTCACCGTGAGCTTTTACTAAATAAATGTAGAAAAATGTAGAGTATTTTGTTGATTCCAACTATTATATTATTCGATATCAAGTGGGATAAACTAAATCTGAAAAGCTCTTTGTGATCAAATAAATACTATAATATAAATGCGCCCTAAATTCCGTCTAAATTAGATTTTGTTAGAAGTACACTAACAATAGGTGGTCAAGGTTGCCCCTCGTAACGTACACAATCATTTGGGGCGAAAACCTTACTCTACCTTCATTTAATATTGATAACATCATGAAACTAACTTAGCTTTTCATTCAGTTGTAATTACATCCTTGAAGAAAGTGAAATTCGTGTCCAGCCTTTTTTGCTATTTCAAACGCATTTTAAATACATAATTTTTGAACTGCGTTTGATATTACTACGGTGATCTTTTTTTTGTGATGTAGTTACGTACAGACGGTGAATTATGATCTGCTAGTCATTGGAATTTAGGGAAATATTTAATTTTGTCTGTAACTTATTAGATACTAAATAAACTGATACATAACAAATCAAAAAGTAATTTCTTACTAAAATTAACTATTACATTACCTATATAATGAATTATTAAAGAATATATCTTTGTGTGATACTGTTGTGTAATTTATTGGTGTTTTTGTATTAAGATCATAACTTTTGTAACAAGCAAACAAGTTTTATTATGGATTAGTGAAGTTTGCAAACAACACTTCGCGAGGTTAATTTTATGTGTGGTATTTCTGTTGAATTGTAGATCAACTTCTAGTAGGGAAATATTTTAACACCTTTTTATTATTATATTTGGTCAAGGTTGCATTCACAATGCTGTACTGGAAAATATTGTTAATTAAAATTAATAATTAGGACAAATGTTCATCTTTATCAAGTTTAAATACTTGTACATTTCTTTCGGCTATTTGGTTGAATTGCCTGAACGTTAATGAAAATACCTGAATTTTCTGTCCTGTCAGATCCTGGGTTAGAGCAATGCCCGGATTGCGAAAGGTCGTGGGTTCGAGAACATTCTCAGAGTGCCAGGGACAAAGTGGATTTTTTAAGCGTTTTTCATTAGAAATATTTTTCAATATGGCATTGTCAATGAAAAATTGATCAAATATAATACGTATCTTTTTTTTGTAATGACAGCGAGACATTGAGTTGAAATGTCGTCACACCTTTGTATAATTTCTGCACATTTATGACGTAGCGAGGCCCCACTACTGTAAAACTGTAAAGCTTATTTTCTAACCCATTTCTTGTTAAAGTAATGGAAAACATATGTTTCTAATAAGTTGCTATTATCTGACTAAACAGAATATCTTTTTTTGCCCATTCATCATCCCTATTATAATTTTTGTGAAGAACCTCGGTAAAGAATGTAACCGATCACCACTTTCGTCATCAATTCGACCAATTGTTCGGACGTCTTTCATAAGTTTAATATTACGCAGGTGGTCTACAGAGCGTGGTCCATGCTCTGTATCTTGTGGAGGAGGTGTACGGCTTGTTAAACCACGGTGTCCTCAAGGAGTTCAACGATGTGCTCTGAACCGATACGAGCGATGTAATACACACAGGTAAGAATCGTAGCATGAAAACTATAGTAACGAATACATAAGATATGTCAATTTTGTATTGAAAAGCGCAGCGTCATCTGCCTCTCAAATGGACGTAAGAATAAGACTTTTTACACGACTATTGAATAAGACCAAAAATTATTGTATGGTGTTTAGCGTTTTTTTTTCAGTCACTCTCCGCCCATTGGCAGACCGCTATTACTCTAGTTGTCTCTTGTGTTTACATTACTTAATTTGAGTTAATTTATTTTTTCCACCATATCTTTTGTAAGTCTAAACAGATACAAATGTATAGGGTATTATTAGAAACCTTACATCCCGAGTAACACTGGCTATAATGTGTTTTTTGTATCCAACATAACGGATGTATGACATCATTTTAAAAATATGAAAAATAACTTCTATTATGGTAATGTGGCCGTCAAATCAAAGGCCTTTATGAGTACTTTCCAAAAATATTTATTACGATATTGTTTTTATGACATGTTGCATTTACACAATTTCGCCTATGTTACGAATATGTATGGACTTTGCATGTCTACCTATGTGATCTATTTGTTATTGATAATTTTAACGTATTTGCGACTTATTAAAAAATATGTTACACTAAACGCAGGCTGTGTTTGCCTATAATTGTTTTTCACTATACTTCTTACTCAATATAATGAAAGAAAGGGAAGGTGTAAAATGTGGTTGGCCTTTAAAAAATAAAATAAATTAATTATTTTATAGTACCTTATAGACCAATTGTATTTATCTTATGTTTAAAATCTTCTACAGTCTTCTATCTACGTTTTATACAGTATCATACACAAGCTAACGTCAAGCTTGCTTACAAACCAAACCATTTCAGTGGAGCGACAACTGTGTAAATATCTATATGGATTGCCTTAACACTGCTTCCATGGTTAGTTAACCTTGTTTGCTCCATTTGTAATATGTAAATATTTCCTGTGACAGTTGCGAATTCAAATGGGCTGCAGGCGAATGGGAGGAATGCAGCACTACCTGTGGCCAAGAGGGGATTCAGGAGAGGCAACTATTTTGCCTGCCTGCAAATGACAGGTGAGATTAGCATAGACTTTTTTTTCAACAGAAATATACTAAGTTTTTATATCTAAATAACTTTTTATAAATGATTTTTTTTTTCAACAAAAATGTACTCAGTTTTTATATCTAAATAACTTTAACAGTATTATTTATTAACATTAGTCTGTGACTCAAGTTTCAATTTATGAAAATGAACTGTATGTTACGAACATAACTAATAAAAAAAGTTACGGTAAATACGTATAATTATTTGAATAAGTTTTATTTGTTGTCTGTATTTTGATGTTCTGCTTTGTGTACTCATAGTAAGTACCTTTGCTATTTATAATTTACTAGATGACCTCGTGTACTTCGTATCACCTCTCACCGTAATCGATAAATCGATAACCGATCTTGGACAATGTCAAATTTTTGGAAACCAAATTCAGCTAAATCAGTCTAGCCGTTCACGAATTTTAGCGAGACAGATGAACAGCGTTTGATTTTTATAAAGTAAACGGGCATTGTATGAAAATAGATAATAAAGTTATTTTTTTGACAGCGCGTCATCAAGACTGGACCTAATTAGGCATAGTGTATCGCCAGCCTTGTGTCCATCAGAGAAGCCTCATGAGCAGCAATCGTGCAACAGAATACCATGTCCAGTGTACTGGCAAGAGTTGCCGTGGACACCGGTAAATATTAGAACAAATTCATTGTGTCAGGTTCCTACAAGGATCATACAAAGTGACCTTTCACTTACAATCTATTTACCAGAAACTATGAGTAGCTCGGTGGCGTAGTGGATAAGCGCCGCGGCCTTAAGCAACTTTCTCAAGGTTCGGTCACGGGATGACAAAAAATATTATTTAGAGCTCCGTGCTTCGGAAGGCATGTTAAGCCGTTAGTTCCGATTTCGTTTGCAATCGTTAATTACAAGTCTCTGGCAAGTCTCTGGTACTCGAGTCAGTTCAAGAATCGAGATTATTCTTGGCATAATCCACATTAGTGTTTCTCAAAAATCGTCTGAACAAATTTAATTTCATTAGATAGCACTTTTCGACGATCAATTTCATGGAATTCAATTTTAAAGCCAGGATTTTGATCAAAATAGGGATGATGACTAATTTTTGTTTGTTTGTCCGTCTGGTAGATAAATACGTTCGTTTTTGTTTTTTGCGTACATCGAGTTGACATGTCGCATGACGTCACGCTTTTGTATATTTTCTACAACAAAACTGTGACGTAGCGAGCCCCCATTATTTAAATTTGATGCCTATTATTTAAGCTATTTCTTGTTTAAATTGTAGCAAAATTAATATTTTCTAATATCTATCTGACGGACTAAATAGAAATTTTATTATAGGAGTTGATCAAGAAAAACTTGTTTAGATTTATGATAAAACCATAACAAGATTTTTGATAAAAAACTAGATTTCTTTAGGATTATGATAAAATGAATTTACAATCATCCTTCGGATCTTGATCTTGAAGGCTTTCTGGAAAATCCTGTCTTTATCATAATCTTCCTTTCAGTGTTCAACCACATGCGGGCGTGGTGTATCACATCGTCCTCTAACATGTCCCGCGTCAGACGATCTCTTCTGCGGTCCGAAGCCACGTGAGCGCAGACGTCGCTGCCGCCTCCGCCGATGCCCTACCACCCGCACCCCTCGCCCCTGTCCTGCACAAGACGCCACTCAGTACTGCGAATTCTTCAGTGCTGATGAAATGAAACGAAACTGCGCAGTGCCACCTTTCAGAAAATATTGCTGTAACGCGTGTAGAGATGTCGATAATACCATAAAGAAAAGAAACTTGGGATGAACACTTTAGCTAATTGATTTGTATATAAAAAATTTCTAGCTTACATTATAAATAATAACATCGCTGACTGATCCAAATTCCAAATAGAAGTAAAAGTAGGCGTGTGTCATTGCATATATGTATGTATTCTACTGCATAAAATAGAGCTTCTTTATAAATCGACTTGATTTTTCAACTAAAATAATTCTTAGTATTTGATTAATAGAATCAAACGTTACCTTGAGGAAGCCGTAACTAAATTTTAAACTAAATCGGTGATTATGTGTTAAAGCTGTTTAATATAGTACTTTTCCAGTACATTTGTAATCTTAGATAAGTATTCATCAAGAATATGTACCAGAAAAAAAATGAGTCATTTAAATATGTTAAATTGACAGTTTTATTAACATACGTTTTAAAATATTTTTTTTTGTCGCAATTGTTAAGTAAAAAATATAAAACGACAACATTTTTATTCTAATATAAAAATATCACCGATTCTTAATTCAAGGACGAATATTAGTGAGTAAACAAGCCAATAAATGGGTTCCATAAATTCTTGAGTTGAAACAAGTCGTTCAAAATGTTACTATATGTTATGAGAACCTACGAAATTCCTTTTTTGATTAATTAATAAATTAAAATCTCGCCTACGGTCATATCTTTTTATTATTCCAAATAATCTTTTAATTCATTGCCAAATATGTTTGGAAGTCATATATTTTTTACCAATTCAGAAGCTGTTTTGCATAACTTTTATATTAAGAGAATATAACCAGTATTTTTTAAATAATATCTGTTGTATTATGTAACAAACTATTTATAATTAGCATAAGTATAATACGTATAATGATAATCAAATGCAAAACTAAGTGCCATAAATAAATATGAATCAACTTAGTAAATAAAATGGTAATATTCTTATAATAATTTGTTTGATTTGACCGATGCTTGATGTTTTTTTTTTTTTTATTTTAGTCGTCAATATCATAGATCCACTGAAAATGATTTTGTTGAATTTCGTATTATAAATATATATTCCGCTAACTAGAAAGCCAGGACCCGTCATTAGACAAATGTGTTATTTAACCTAAACTACCGACTTTTTAATTCAAAAGTTCATTGTCCTATCCCTTAACCCCCCAATTAGCAACACTTAAAATGGGTTTGAAAATTATATCAAATTATCTATTGACAAAAACTAAATTAGACGTCATTTGCTAAATCAAAGTAATGGCGCAATCTATTTATTTTGCTATTTAATTGGAAGGAAAAAAGTGGTTATAGGTATTACGTAAAGTATACGTAGCTCCATTTTTATTTAAAGATGGTCTTTTGATATAAACCTTCCCTTGATCTCAATAAACACAGCTAAAAATAAAGTAGTCGTTCTGAATTTATACATTTCGTTGATTGATTTTTATTTACATAGATGACTTAGCAAAAGCGCGTCCTTCTACGGAAATTGGTAAGCCAGAACGTGTACTAAATAATTTGTGACGATGACAAAAAAGTCTTATCGCCATTTTATATTGTCTCTGGTCTGGGTATTGTGGTACATTCGTTGTCACAAATACACCATAATACTTACAATGGCTTTAACTAGATACTCATCTTGGAATCGGAACAATGTAGGTCATTATGTGTTATCTAATATTTATTTATTATTTCAAAAAGAGGCAAGGCAATTAAGTTTTTACTATGTGCCTATAGTTACGTTAGTATATTATTTATATTTAAACACGTGTACATTAATGTAAGTTTCCTTTAATTAGTAGAATACCTTGTAAAGTAAACGTTTGCCGACAGTAGCTTTGATGTAAAAGTTAGTTTTACCCAAATAAAGCTTTGTTCAACTCCTTTGAGATAATATGTATGTTTAATTATATTTGAACGTTGTACTAATTATGAATTAAGAAAACTCCGAAATTGCCATCTATCTATCATTTTCTAAATTCATCACCAGTTCATAAATGTTCGTACTGCTGGGGCTCAGGTCTACCCTATGAATGGAATCGAATAAAGAGAATGGGCCATGACCCACCACGTCAGCCCAGCGCGTATTGGTGGGTATTAATGAATAAATTTTTGATCCCCAATCCTTTGACCGGTCTTTGTGAAATTGGTTAACAACGATTTCGCAGACCTAGCGCGCTTATCATTTCGCCATCGAGCTCTTTACTAAATTAACGGCCGGTTTCTGAATTAAGAAAATTATGCTCATTTGCTTAAGTTTTTTATTTTTAATGAAAAATGCTTAAATTCCACTTTGTCCCTGGCACTCTAAGATTTATCAAAATCAGAAACGAAAAACTGCTCGAGTGTCTTTTAATTACAGTTTGAGACGTGCTACTCAATTCAGAGACCGGGTGCTTGTTAACTTATTTAATTATAAGGTCATGTTCAATTATATCAGTAATAACTTAACGAAGTCACTTCACAGCACTTAGACAACCGATGTCATCCAAAATTTATCCGCTTGAGTAGCGTCCGATAACGATATAGCAAACTTTATACTAACGCGTTAGATATAACGTTTCTCGTCAACTACTATGAGGAGACATTTTACAAACTTTGACGCTGACCGCGCACTTTGCTACCTGAGTCACTATCGACCGGCTGAGGGTAGCAGTTTGAAACGTGTTATTCGCGTTATATGTTAATTTTCTCCAAGGAATGAGAGACTTTTTCCAAACCATTGGATTTTAGATGTATGTCTTTAAAAATGTTGACTCTGAGAAAACTGGCTTTAGGAAACACAATATCATTTTAAAAATGTGGTTCGCACGTTACATTACATTACTAAGTAACGTTTCGGAATAAATTGGCTGAGAAATACGAGCAGACAAACATAAGGGTTCTGTTTTTGCCATTCGGAGACGGAATTTTATAAAGAAATAATTACAAAAGCAAACTTTTCGATATCATATTAAGAAGTTTTTAAGCGTTTTGTGTCCGGAAATTTTGATGTTAATAATGCATGTCGCTTCGGTCGCTTTGTTACTGATAAAATGAATGCCATTTTTTAAAGAATGGACCAAAATCGGAATGTCGGTACTTAACGACGTAGCTGAAGAACTAGGGATTGACCACAGATCGTTTTGGCGCATGTGAAAAAAATGAGTAACCAAAAAACTTCGATATTGGGTAGCTAAAAGAAACTGAATGAACCGTGTACTTATTTGTGATTCTTTATTACAGCGTAATGAAACCGAACCATTTTTGAAGAAACTGATAATTGATGACGAAAAGTGGATCACGTACGACAAGAACGAGCGATAAAGGTCGTGGTATGGCAAAACCCGAGTTAACTCGCAACAAGGTGATGCTGTGTGTATGGTGGGATTTGAAGGGCATTATTCATTATGAGATGTTACCGCTAGGCAAGATCATCGATTTTGAACTCTACTGCGAACAACTGATGCGATTAATAATAATTATTAATAATGGAAAATATGACTAATGAAGATTTAAAATGTTTTAATCCAATTAAAAAGTGTGAAATGCCAGTTTATACAACAGATGACGCCAATTATGCTCCTGAGAGAGATGTTTATATAGCTTCACCTTCAAATAACGAGGTAGATTTCATGCTATCGAAATCATTAAATGTACCAGTAATAAGCTGTAAACAAGTTACCATAGCAATAGAAAATAAGCATGCTTTAGACATTGCACAAAAAAAACGACATCGGGGGTTATCTAGTAAGTTCGAAATTAACTATTGGCTTATATCTAGGCAACGTTATTGGGGTACACCTATACCTATAATTCATTGTGACGGATGTGGTCCGGTTGCAGTTCCATTAAAAGATCTTCCAATAACATTTCCACATATAAAAAGTCTTTTGGTTCTGATAATCAAGCATTAGATAAGTTAGCTGAATAGATCGATTATACCTGCCTAAGATTGTACCTGTCAAAACAAAGCCAAAAGAGAAACAGACACAATGGACACATTTGTAGATACATCCATGGTATTTCTACTGATTTTTAGATCCTGGAAACAATTAAAAACCATTTGATAAAATAAAAGCATCTGGAAAAACTCCTGTCAATATTTATATAGGTGGCAAAGAACACGCAGTATTACATTTATACTATGCTCGCTTTATGAGTTACTTCTTGCATTCACTGGGGTGGATTTCATCTCCAGAGCTTTTTAAAAAAAGTAGTAGATCAAGGAATGATTATGGGTCAATCTTATAAATTGAAATCGTCCAGAAATTATATCCCTCCTGATAATGTAGTACTCATTGGGAAAGAATATAAACTTAAAATTACTGGGTAGTCTGTTTTAGAAAAGATGAGTAAATCTAAATATAATGGAGAAAACCCAAATAATTATATTACTAAACTTTATTGCACAAAAAAGAGAATATACAAGGTACACAAAGATAGCGAAGCAAATGGCGGCCTTTCGCTTATAAGCGATCTCTTCCAGGCAACCGCAAGAAGATTAAAGCAAGAAGTTTAGAGAAAGCGGCCAAAATTAATCAATAGAAAGGGTGTAGTTTTTCATTATGATAACGCTAAACCTCACACATCTTCTGCCACTCAGCAAAAATTAGGAGAGTTTGGATGGGAGGTGTTAACACATCCGTATAGTTCTGATCTATAGAGCACCTTCAGATTTCTACGTATTTCGGTCTCTTTAGAATTCTTTAGGCAGTGTCAGGTTAATATCACCTGGCAAAATATCAAAACTGGCAAAATTACTTCTTCGCGGTTTTTTGATCAGAAGCCCCAAAATTTCTATAGTAATGGGATAATATAAGATGGCAAAACGATATCAAACAAAATGCTACCTACATTCTTGAGTTAAATGTAAATACACTTTATTAAAAAATGTCTTGATTGAAACGTGAAGATTTTTTGTCGTTTAACTATTAGGTTAAAAAATGCAACTTATAGGGTAACGTACTAATATAACAAATACAACGAAAGAGAACACTTTTGAAATATTGAACCAGCTTAGTGTATTGGTAGCAATTATTGATTAACCAATCAATATATAACGCCCGTCGCCCGCCGTTCTGCTATTCATGTTGTAGTGAATTCTAAGTCAAACATTGGTTTATTGATATGTAATCTTGTGTTATCTTCCCTCAGTGTATAAGTGTATGATTATCTATGAATTAATTATAATAACAATGTGCGTTATTAATTTTAATACTTACCTATCTAAATCATCAGTATAATAAAGACTAATAGAAAATTTGACAAAGTTAACAATGTAATGATGATAAATAATGAGACAGACAGGACAAATTTTTAACTATTGACTCGCAAACATTATTATTAACATAAAATTGCTTAATATCATCTCTTAGATATAAAGCGACTTACATATTTATTGAT